CACAAACAGCACACAGACACATAATGCACACACGCACACACAACACACTCAGACACACCTACATACGCATATACACACATTCACCCAGTATCCCCCCCACACATACACATAAACACACAAACATACGCACAAACACACAGACACACACACACACACACACAGACACACACACACACACACACAGACACACACACACACACACACACAGACACACACACACACACACATCACATCACATAAACCCACCCCCAAACCCACCAACAGACTAAACCAGCCAACTTAAAACTTCAGCACTCTTCACAGAAAAGAGTCAGTTTACGAGACAGCCATGATGGCGGCCACTTCCGGCCGCGCATGCGCACTGACCCCCCGCGCGGCCATCTAACATCCAAACAGCTGACGACAAGGGGAAGCTACTCTTCCGTAAAGGTAAACCGCTCGCCCTGCGCGCCAAAAAGGTCGGGTCGATAACGCGGGTATTCATTGAGCGCTCCTGGGAAGCGGGCGCTGATTGTAAATGTTTTTACGTCCCGATCAACACAATTCGGGTCATTTAGGAGGCGTGTTGGCGGCTGTGACCCGACCTGTGGGGGACATGGCGGCATCCGTCGGGAGAAAGATGGACGGGGAGATTTTCACGCCATCCTAGAATCATAGAAGACCTGAGAACAACACCAAGGTCAAGTCACAATTGTGAGGCAGCGTGGTGGAATCACGCTCTCGTCAATTTTTGGGGCATGTAGAGTTATTGGTATCACCTTAAAGCTTGTTCACTTATCTTTATTTGGATGAAAAAAATATCCATTTATCTTGAATACAGGTCGAGATATTTGCGAAAGAAGAGGTCGTGGGGTCACCTGTTTTCAGAGGTAAAATTAGTGAGAAATTGGCCGCCAAAGATTAGTTATTTTCTTAGCTTAAGAGTCCGTGGTAACTGAAAATGTACATTTTTGTGCCTTTAATGAACGTTTTTCAGAAAAATCCAAATAGAAATGAATTCTTTAATGGGCATAAAAGGTGTTGAGCCCCCCCCCAAAAAAAAATAGATTAAAAATTCACAGACCTACAGAAAAATACAAGTTTCTTCACTTTGATTATTTTGACGAGAGCCTGATTCCACCACGCTGCCTCACATTTTGATTTTTCTTCTTTTTTTTTTGCTTCCTCGTTCTCGATGACATCAGCTAGACAGTCAGTCCGATGTCGCGCACAAATTGTGCAGTTCTCTTCAACTTTGAGAGACTGCCATAGAGCTTTCTCTCAAGGGGAGCCACATTCTGCCATGTCTGTGCACGAAGGGTGGCGTAGCGCGGGCAGTGATGAAGGGTATTGTTGGCATCCTCTTGGTCGTGTCCACATTCACAGACATTTAGATGAGTTGACAAGTATTTTTGTTAGAGTGAAAGAGAAGCACATCGACACACCATAACGCTCATTTAGTGACGGAAAAAGTAAAACAGACAGACAGACAGACAGACAGACAGACAGACAGACAGACAGACAGACAGACAGAAACAAGAGAGGGCAAGTGAAGACGTAGGACCTACCAGTGGTGCCGTGCCCTCAAACCACCCGCACATTTAGATTATTTCCAGAAAATGAGCACACAAAAAAACTCATCTCATGAAATTAAAATACTCCAAGAACGCTGCGATTGGAGGGCTTAGAACACTTTTTTTTCAGTAATAATAATATTGTTGTTGCATTTAGGTGTCTCATCTTTGAACAAGAAGAACTGAGAGTAGGAACAGAACAGCGCTTTGTCAGTGTCATTAAAGTCACCGTGCCCTCTGTCACCGCTTTCGAATGATGCAGGACTCGACTTTTAGGAAAATGTGACTTTACCTTGCGTTAGTTCTCAGGTCTTCAATTCCAAAGTTCCATCTGACACTTGTGGCCATTTTTGAGTAAGTAAGACTGTAAGACTGTAAGACTGTAAGACTGTAAGACTATGAGGGTAGAAACCAGATTGTGATCTGTCTGCTCTATCAAAATCGTGAGAGTATTCGGACTCCTTATCAAGAATTTCAAAGAATTGCATTCGGAAAAGCTTGACTTGTTGGGGAAACTCAAAGCAACCTTCAATTTCTCAAAACTAGGCGCTGAGCAGTTAGAACTTTGTAATTCTCGGGTAGTGATTTGTTAAAGATGTGGCTATAGTCAACGTCGTTCAACAGTTTTGAATTTTGTTTTAAAGTGGGGTTTTTTTTACACCCCAATCGACGTAATTTGGATCTTTGGCGCCCCGAAGAAAAACAGGCGGAGATAAGATAAGACTTGTTACTTGTTAAAGGTGTTATTTTCGCCAGCGTATTTTTTTTTTCAAGTTTTGAGAATTTTCAAACTTTAACAAACTGACTGAGAATGCGCATTCTAGACATACGGCAACACTTAAGGATTTCCCGTTTTGAGGCATACTTTTATAATTCAAACAGATTTTTCAAGGTGTTTGGGGTGGGGTTGGGGTGGGCTTGTGGTGGGGTTGTGGTGGGGTTGTGGTGGGGTTGGGGTGGGGTTGTGGTGGGGGGGTTGTATTGTGATGGTGGTATAATAATGGTGGTGGTGATTGTGGTAGAAGCTGTGGCATTGTTGATGGTGGTTTAAGGTGGAAATGTGTCTGTGGTGGTGGTTTTGGGGGTGGGGGCAGAGGGGGGGGGGGAGAGATGAGGAGGAGGAAGGACAATGAGGAGAATAAATAGGGTGGCAAAGACATTTTAATGAAATCCAAGCCAAGGTGAAGTGCATGTGTTCTGTTTGTAGTTTTGTCCGTCGGTCTGCTTGTCTGTCTGCGTTTTTCTCACTCCCAGTGTCTTTTTCTGTCTGTCTGTCTGTCTTTCTTTCGTTAGTTCGGTCTGCCCCTGTCTCTGCCCCCCACCCCTCTCTCTTTCTCTCTCTCTCTCTCTCTCTCTCTCTCT